ATTAAAAAACACGTGTTTTATATATATTTACATAATATGATTTAAAGATGAACAACATGTGAATTCTCAGGTAAAAGATACTATATATATAGGATAGATATACGATAATCTGATTAGTTGCTTATTCATTAGAAGATATTGAACGATATAATGAGTCAAATCTTATCATGATGTCATATTTAGAGAAACTGTGTAATTAAAAATGATAGTAAGATATTATATAAAAAATTTATATTTCTAAATAATATATTGCATTTCAATTAATATACATATCTCATTCAAAAAAATAATTTATTTAATATATATATATATATATATTAATTATTATGATATTATGATATTATTATTATCATTATTACTTTATTACTTTATTAGTTATTTTATTGCTTTACGTAAAAATATATACATGTATATACTTATATCTTTATGCTATTTCAAACCTTTCATTATATGCCTCGTGTAATGTAAGTCCTATATTCGTTTTTTTATCATTGAGAATTAAAATTATAAAATAATTAAAATTATGCTAATATCATGGTTAAATTGCGGATATTTATACGAATATTTTTTATGCATAAAGTATATTTTTTTATAACAAATACATTTCCATGATTTAAAAAACAAATATTTAATATGTAAATATTATAATTCAGTTTATCAATTAATTTTTTTTAAATAAACAATATCAATTTATAGGAAATCTTAAAAAAAATTATCTAAAAGAAAATTTTTTTCAAAAATTATTTATAATTATTTGTATTCAGTGAACAGATATAATTTATGAATTTATTTTGATAATAAACAAAAATAGATGGTGAATAATCATAAATGTTTATGTATTTACAATGTTTATAAGAATATTTTGTGGAAAATTTTAAGCAATTAAAATTTTCTAAAATTTATGTTTTAAATGATCTTTATTATATATAAAAAATAAATGTTTATATTTAATTTGATGCTCTATAATTTTCTAATAATAAATTTAGAGATTTTCATTTTATTTTCCCTTTAATATCAAAAGAATAAATTTATTGCATAATAAGTTTATTAATGAATCAAAATATATTCAGAAATTTATTCATACATTATATATCTATATAAATTTTAAACAGATATAATGAAAAATTTAATAGATATAATATTTACGAAATACAAATTTAATAATTACTTTATATCATTACTTTATATCATTTAGTTGTTGTTGTCTGTGTATAAAGAAAGGATTAAAAATATATCTATATATATTTATTATATATCTTTAATGAATAAGATGAACATAAGAAAATGTAAGTAAATTTATTATCGATTCAGTCAATTTTGTAATGTAGTCACAATCTATATACTTACACGCCCAAGAGTCAAGAATAGATACTAATTAAATAGAGCACGCGAATATATGTACAAAACTACCCCTATTCTGTCTAGACTCATATTCAATATTATCAAATTTCATCGTATTAGTCAGATAGTCTGAAATATATTTGTATAGATTGTTGAAAAATTTTTTATCGAAAAACATTTGTGTAAAAGATAGATACTATTGCGATCAAAATATACGAGACAAAATGTTTTCTTCTCAATATCAAGTTATTATCATATAAGAGAATAATTCTTGAACAAGAAATAAAAATAAAAATATCTATTATTAAATGAGATATTTATAGAATCTATATTAATTGAAATTCGTAATTTTTATCGAAATTTATAATTTTTATCGATATTTATAATTTTTATCGATATTTGTATTTTGTGATATAATTGATAATAATTATGAATAAAAAGTATAATTTTTAGTAACAATACATTTTAATATCGAACAAAAAGTTCGAACAAATTGTTAATTGAAAAATATTGCAATAAAATTTTTATTATAAATGCTATAGTAAAGTATTTTCACAAAAATATAAAAAAGAAAGAAAATTAATTAATTGATATCAAAGTATTGATATGTTCAATAGGCGATTTTACATTTTTCTTTGAAAAGTTTATTTAGGATTAATTTTTAATTAGAAATAATACTCAAAATATAATACGCTGGATTTAACAATTGCATTTCAAATAACATATAATATAGTAAATTAATAAATAATGATTATTTGAATTCATAAAATTTTATGTTTTTATAATACAACTACTCTAAAAAAATTTATTGTTTACGAATTTAGAAATTATTGAAATAGTTTAATAAGAATTAAAGCCATTATATTTAATAATATAATAAATTGCATAAAAAATTATAATTCTGATTAATTTTATATTTCTTTGAATTGTTCAAAAAAAGAGTACTTCACAAGGAAATAGAGGTAGATTAATGATTAATTGATTATCAAGAGAAATGAATCATTTTATTAAAATATCTTATTACTCAAAACAATACATATATTTCATAATTTCAAATTATTCATAAATAATTGTTTATATGATAAGCAAAATTTATATGATTTTAAAAAAGACATACGATGAAATTTTCAATAAAATATATAATTTATTATTATTAAATTTATTTTAAAATTTTTTAAAAATAATATCATATACATATTTTCTATGAAAATCAAAATAACATTATATCAAATAAAGATATTGAGATGTAATAAATTTAAGACAAATCATAATTTATCAATACAATTACAATAAAGTATTAGTAAAAATTATTACATTTATTATTATGAAGAAAATTATTAACAATATTTATTTTCAATAATATATAAGTTATTTTCA